TTTACTTTAGATTTTTCTAATTATAATTAAATATGGATAATCTATCAATAATTTTGATTCATCAACCGATTTTAAAAATTACTGATAAGTTGAGTAATGATAATATAAATTTTTATTATAGTGTTATATTAAATTAGAATGTGTTACTATGGGCTCATAGCCGACCGAACGGTAAAAGTGCAAAAGAGTCGTCCGACCGATGATACCTCTCAAGTCAATGAATCGAGCGGCAAAATCAGTCCGACCGATGATACCTCTCAGGTCAATGAACCGATCGGTAAAATCAGCCCGACCGATGATACCTCTTAGGTCATTGAGCCGATCGGTTAAATCAGCCGTTAAGGTAATTAATAGTAGGCTTAATTACCTACTTAGTCCCCATGTTCAGAGGTAATTTGCTGTTTAGTACCCGGTTTTAAAAATGTAGGCATTTGGTACCTATGTTTTAAATTTGTATCAATGAATCCTACCCACTTAACGCCGTTATAAATCTAACGTTTTTCTGACTGTTGTATGTGATTTGTGGACGAGCGGTTATGGACGAGCGTTCGCTTCGTTGACGAGCGTCCTCTTCTGCCTGACTGGGCGTCGCTTCGCTGACGAGCGTCCTCTTCTGCCTCGCTGGACGAGCGTCCTCATCGCTGGACGAGCGTCCTCTTCGCTGGACGAGTCGTCCAGCGAAGCGAACGCCCAGTCAGGCAGAAGAGGACGCTCGTCCAGCGAAGCGAACGTCCAGTCAGGCAGAAGAGGACGCTCGTCCAACGAAGCGAACGCTCGTCCATAACCGCTCGTCCACAAATCACATACATAGTCAGAAAAAACGTTAGATTTATAACGGCGTTAAGTGGGTAGGATTCAATTGATACAAATTTCAAAACATAGGTATCAAATGCCTACATTTTTAAAACCGGGTACTAAACAGCAAATTACCTCTGAACATGGGGACTAAGTAGGTAATTAAGCCTTAATAATAATAATTGTCGGGGAGTTAATGAAAATAATTGTCATTTATTGAGAATTAATATTGTCATTCATTGGTGGTTAACGAGTCAGACCTAACAGTAAGCTCATTATAAGTTATAAATATTTGTCTCGCAAAGGGTACAGGTAACTAGAACTTAAACTGAGACTTAGAGGTCTGAGAACTAAATCTTGATTACAAGATTATTACGCAAAGTCACTGACTTGAGCGTCGGAGTGTCTTTTGCAGGCACCCTCCCCCGCGGCTTGGACAAAAAGAAGAGAGAAGACATTACAACTGGACATTGGAGCAGACAACTTTGAATGTTTTGGATTAGGGTTCTAAATCCTACCGAAACAGAATGTGAAAATTATTAATATGATGTTAAATTGTAACTATTACTATTAGTCATAAGGTATGAAATGTCAAACTATACATTAAAATTGTTTTTTTTTCTTGGAGACTTAAAGCTATTAGTCCTAAATTTTTCTTAAGATCTTCTTTTGGGAGACCTAAAACAATTAATACTATTACTATGGGCTCATAGCCGATCGAACGGTAAAGGTGCAAAAGAGTCGGCCAACCGCGGATACCTCTCAGGTCAAGGAACCGATCGGTAAAAAGAGCCATTAAGGTAATTAATAGTAATAATTGTCAGAGAGTTAATGAAAATAATTGTCATTTATTGACAATTAATATTGTCATTCATTGGTGGTTAATGAGTCAGACTTAACGGTAAGCTCATTATAATTTATAAATATTTGTCTGGCAAAGGAGACAGGTAACTTGAACTTGAATTGAGACATAACAAAATCTTGATTACAAGATTATTACACAAAGTCGCTGACTTGAGCGTCGGAGTGTCTTTTGCAGACACCCTCCCCCGCGGCTCGGACAAGGAGAAGAGAGAAGACAGAGAAGACAACACAACTGGACATCGGAGCAGACAACTTTGAATGTTTTGGATTAGGGTTCTAAATCCTGCCGAAACATTTTGGCGCCCACCGTAGGGCCGAGCGACATCCCTTGTAATCACAAGGAACCATACGTGTGCTCGGTCTCAATATCGCTATTTTGGATCAGTTCCAGGTTTCGGAGCAAGAGCAAAAAATTGAATAATAATTTTTAAAGGCATATATTTTGTATATATTTTGTTTTGACAATTTTTAGGAAAACAAAGGTCTCGCCTATTGCCTAGCGTTCCCAAAACCTAACAATTTGGAACGAGAAAGGAAATGAAGAGGTGACTTCCATGAGGCTGGTAATGTAAGGGAGCAAATAGAAATGTATATTCAACAAGCACTAGTTGAAAAAAATGTCTGAACGGTCATGATTTATTATCGGGCAACACGAGAGATGCAATTGAAAAAGCTCTCCTGTTACACCCCGTAAATTCAAAGGCCATAAGACTCTAAAGCATTTACATCAAGGTCGAACGGTTTCACTTGCTCATTCGTGTCGCCTGAACATTTTGACCGAACGGTCACATCTATATTCTTGATGTCATCTGGCCTCAACTCAAACTAAATTCAGCTACATTTTTCTAACCATTCGAAATTCTAGTGTTGTTTTTCTTCGGTGCAAATAATAGGACTCTGTATACAAACTACTTGGCCAACTTCGAGCAACCGATCGGCAGCGAACATTTTTCAACTCGGTGAGGCAGTCTCTTCGTGAGCTCTCACCTTGGTCTTAGGGCACGCTTCTAGAGAGCTCCTAAGACCTAAACCGAGCGGGTGAGGCAGATTTTTTTCGTGAACTCTCACCTTGGTCTTAGGGCACGCTTCTAGAGAGCTCCTAAGACCTAAACCGAGCGGGTGAGGCAGATTTCTTTCGTGAACTCTCACCTTGGTCTTAGGGCACGCTTCTAGAGAGCTCCTAAGACCTAAACCGAGCGGGTGAGGCAGATTTTTTTCGTGAACTCTCACCTTGGTCTTAGGGCACGCTTCTAGAGAGCTCCTAAGACCTAAACCGAGCGGGTGAGGCAGATTTCTTTCGTGAACTCTCACATTGGTCTTAGGGCACGCTTCTAGAGAGCTCCTAAGACCTAAATCAAGCGGCAAATCAGGCTATTTCGTGAACTCTCGCCTTGGTTTGGGAACACTTCAAAGGAACTCTTAGCGCAAAACCCGCTCGGACGATAAAGAACGCATGCTAGTATGAATTGAAACTCAGGTAAAATCCTCTACCGATCGATATAACTTTACAACCCCAACACAATATCAAAAATTTTGCTAGGGCTTGGGGGACTTATGTTACTATGGGCTCATAGCCGATCGAACGGTAAAGGTGCAGAAGAGTCGGCCGACCGATGATACCTCTCAAGTCAAGGAACCGATCGGTAAAAAGAGCCGTTAAGGTAATTAATAGTAATAACTGTCGGGGAGTTAATGAAAATAATTGTCATTTATTGACAATTAATATTGTCATTCATTGGTGGTTAATGAGTCAGACCTAACGGTAAGCTCATTATAATTTATAAATATTTGTCTGACAAAGGAGACAGGTAACTTGAACTTGAACTGAGACATAACAAAATCTTGATTACAAGATTATTACGCAAAGTCACTGACTTGAGCGTCGGAGTGTCTTTTGCAGGTACCCTCACCCGCGGCTCGGACAAGGAGAAGAGAGAAGACAGAGAAGACAACACAACTGGACATCGGAGCAGACAATTTTAAATGTTTTGGATTAGGGTTCTAAATCCTGCCGAAACAAATACTATTTTTTTTTTGAGAAATTCTTTTTCTTGAGTTTTGAGCCGGCTTTGGGCCCAACTCAGGACAAGGTAACTCGATAAAAGCTTTATGTTGGATTTAGAAATACTGATTTATATGCGTGTAATCAAAACCATTGTTAGAATGATTACATTTGCAACAAAATAGACATTAAAGATTTAAGATGAAATCTCCTTTCTTCATAATGACCATCAATGTATGCATGTTATACCAGCAAGTATATAAAATAATAAGACTTGCGAGATATTTTGTCATTTCTACAATATCCCTATTATTTAAAACTTGTAAAATAATCATTTATATATACAAATTCAATGGGTTTGACTTTTAGTATTCAATGGAGTGGTTGAAAATACAATGATTTTTGCAATACCGTATAAAGAAGAAGAGGTATATTGCATATTTTATTTTTCTTTTAACTCACTAACACATACACATGCATAACACACACCACACATACATGTAAACTTACAAACACACTCGTACACATGCGTACACATAAACACATGCACACATACCTATATGTCCACACATACACACTCCTAAGCACATGCAAATGCACACATACCTATATGTCCACACAGACACACTCCTAAGCACATGCAAATGCACATGCACACACATCATAATGGTTGGAACACGTCATGTTGTAAACTAATTCTAGTTAGTCCATTTTTATAAAATTGGTGTATGTTATAACCATGTGTCGTGAAAATTTGGTATTGATATGAATGGTAGTCAAAATATCAATGTGAACTGTTGAAATATCATTTTTATTAGATTTGATATCTTTGAATATTATTAAAATTTTTAATGTAAGATATTTTATTCTTTGAATGATTTGGTAATGAGTATTTCCAATAAAAAAAAAATGTAGTTAACAATATATTTTAAGAAATCAAATTGATATACGTTCATCTTTCAAGATCTACTTCTATACCAAAGATTAAATTACTAAAATGATATAAAATATCCTATGTTTATGGAATTTGTCCAATACAGACAGAGAATGACAAGGAACCCTTTCCCTTTTGTTTATAGTTTTTCTTTTTCAAACCGTATCTTATTGAAAATTTAAAATTGAGGACGAAATCTTTTATCTCATTGTTGAATTTATTGGCCATAGAAGATTCAACACAGAAAATAAACACTGATTAACCTACCCACATTTATAATTCAATTATTAAATCACTATAGCATTTTTCAAAAAGTCGAACTCATCATTTTCTTTCTTTATAACTTGTCAGACTTCTTTAAATAAGTTCTTCATTGAATCTATTTAAGGGAAGATTCGTTCGAACTCTCAACAGCACACAATTTTCCTAACAAGCTCCAATGGATTTTGTTCTAAATTACCTTAACACCACTACCATTGGACTTCTTTCTCTAATCCTCTTTTGTTTATTTTTGTACAATCCCTTCAAAAAATTTAAAGGAAAAGAGGCTCCTAGGGTTGCAGGAGCATGGCCAATACTGGGTCATCTTCCACTGTTGAGTGGTCCAAACACACCCCACAGAACTTTGGGTGCTTTGGCTGAAAAATATGGACCCATCTTCACCATCCAACTTGGTTCCAAAAAGGCTGTGGTAATCAACAACTGGGAAATAGCAAAGGAATGCTTCACCACAAACGACACGGTGGTTTCCTCTCGCCCCAAACATGTCGCCATTGAACTCATGGGCTATAACCATGCCATGTTTGGCTTTGCACCCTATGGTCCCTATTGGCGCGAGCTTCGAAAGATTACAATTTTAGAGATCCTTTCCCCTCGTCGAGTGGAACAACTGCAGCATGTTCGTGTCTCCGAAGTTCAAACCTCGATCAGAGAGTTGTATACTCTATGGTGTAGTCAAAAGGGTGAGTCTGGCTATGCCTCGGTTGAGCTGAAGCAATGGTTTTCTCACTTGACATTCAACATGGTTCTTAGAATGCTCGTTGGGAAGAGATATTTTGGTGGTGAAAACGTGGACGATGAGAAGGCACAGAGATGTGTGAGGGCTGTGGAGGAGTTCATGCGTCTGGTGGGTGTGTTCGCAGTGGGAGATGCTATTCCTTGGTTGAGATGGCTTGATTTCGGAGGCCATGAGAAGGCAATGAAAGAAACTGCCAAAGATTTGGATAGTGTTTTAAGTGAGGAGTTAGAGGAACATAGACGAAAGAAGGGTTTCGATAAAAAGGTTGATGAATTTCAGGATTTCATGGATGTCATGATTTCCATCCTTGATGGAAGGACTATTGATGGAGTTGATGCAGATACCGTTATCAAAGCCACCGTGCTGGTACGTATATGTTTAATTTACACATTATAGTCCTTTCAACAAAATAAAGCATACAAATATAATATATATAGTTCCCCGATTAGATTTTAAATATTAGATATGAATTCCATATACAATTGGTAGAGTAGTGTATATTATATATAATAAACCATTTATTATGTAAATTACTCAGCAGCTTATTACTATTCTCCATTGACAATGTTTGAAGAAATCAATTTTAGGCCACCAAAATCCAATTTTCGTTAGACATATTCATACACGCTTATGTTCCTCTCTGCTTTCATATTTTACGGCTTTGAATAAATCATTTTAAGCTATTGGACAACACCATATTTCCCCTCTTTACACTCCATTATTCTCATATTTTAGGCAATTTTGTTTACTTTAGTGTTGTTAAAATGAGTTATAACTCGCGAGTCAATTCGGTCTACCACATGTTCGAGTCGGGTTGGGTTTGAAAAAAATGTACTTTGTTTATGCGGGCTAGTTTTTAACCCGGCTCATTTAGAACCCGGCTCACTCGGGTTGAACCCGTTGGTTCACCAACCAACCTAATTTAATTTAATTATTTATTATTTTGTGTTTTAATATTATTAGTTAGCATTTCTTTTTATTATATTGTAGATGGGAATAAATAAGAAGATGTTTGAAGAAATAAAAATATTATAGATTTAAAGATTCTAATATTATAAATGGACAACTGATACAAACTTATCAATATTACAAATTTATTTGTTTCCTTTTGTACATGTTTCTGGATTACGTTTGGATTGTATGATATTTTTTTTATATTTTGAATTGTCTTTGTAGTTTAACATCATTTTAAAGTGAAATTTATTTAGATTTGAATTAAAAAATTGTAATTTTTTTATTTAAAAAAAACTTATAATTAAGTGAGTCAATGGGTCAACCCGTTTAATCCATCAACTCATGGTGGGTCTGACCGAGTTCAAATTGTTTTAGCTCACTAATAAATGAGCCGAGTTGCATTGACTTACTAAGTGATCAATCTGTGGTGGACTGGGCCGGATCAAGCCAGGTTACCCGTTTTGACATATCTAAGATTAACCTTCCATTTTCCATATGCTTTACGTACATCGCTCCATTCCCCATTTTCTTAATTGTTCTTTGATATACTTCTTTTGGAATACATATTTGATTTGTAGGGCATGATTGCCGGAGGAAATGACACAACTAATACTGTTATTACGTGGGTGATATATTCGATTTTAAGAAATCCTTTGGTATTGGAAAAAGTAAAAGCTGAATTAGACATTCATGTTGGAAAAGAGAGATTGGTGAGTGAGGATGATATAAGTAAGTTAAAATATCTTCAAGCTACAGTCAAAGAGACTTTAAGATTGCATCCTCCAGCTCCTCTCTTGCCACCTCGTGAATTCATAGAGAATTGCACTTTAAGTGGTTATAACGTAGAAAAAGGAACTCGTCTATTCACAAATGTTTGGAAAATTCAAACAGATAGCAATGTTTGGGAAGATCCATTGGCGTTCAAACCAGAAAGGTTTTTAACAACTCATAAAGATTTTGACATCAGAGGTCATCATTTTGAGTTATTACCATTTGGATGTGGTAGAAGAATGTGTCCTGGAATATCCTTTAGCCTTCAAATGGTGCATTTCATTCTTGCTACTTTTTTGCATTCTTTCAAAATTTTAAATTCATCAGCTTATCCTGTAGATATGACTAAAACCTCTCAGTCAGCCAACACTAGAGCCATTTCTCTTGATGTTCTTATTAAACCACGTTTATCTTTTACTTGTTATGAAAATAACTTGTCTCATTTTCATTAGAAGTACTTTTACTTAGTTTATTGTACTTGCTATCGTTGTAGTTTCTCTCTTAAACTATTTAAAAAATGATGGATATATATACATATTATCTTTGTACTTTGGTTCAACTTTGTTTTCTTATAAGCTTTTGAGATATAAAAAAATTCGGTTCAAAGAAAATAAAAATATAAAACTAATTGTTGTCGATGAACTAATGATTTATGGTCAATTATTAGAATGGAGAAAATCGATTGCGATAATAGAAGATAGGATTAGTTTTGTTTTTCTTTTCTTTTTCTAGAGAAAAATTTGATGAAAAACATTTCATGAAGATATTTAACAAAATTAGTTATGATAATAAAGAGAAGATTCGCTTAAAGAATTCCGTAGAAAAAGAAGAAATGAAATACGGCATCATAATCATAGAGTTTCGCTAATGAAAAAAACTCGAGAAAACAATTTCATAATACAATTAAAACCTAAACAATAATGATTAGAAATGTAAATATTTTCAAAGAGACAACTTATTATACACATACATGTTATCAATATAATATAGAATGCTACAGACCCCATAGGAATAAATAATCGTCAATCCATATATAAATAAGTACTTAGGACTTAGGCTACCATTTTAATTAGTGTAAAACATATGTGTCACATTGTTTTTATTTTTATTAGAAAAAATAAATATATTGAAAGGGACAACTTGATTGCCTCAACTCACATAAAAGAAAAAAAAAAGCATATACAATAAAGAAAGAAAAACAAATGTTGGCACCATGGAAGAAAAGTTCTCCAATTTTAATTGTTCTCTTCTATCCTTCCTAAATTGTGTTGTCATCTTCAAAGCTCTCAAACCATTTATTCTTCACTGATCCATATATGTGAGTTTGACGTCGTATAAAAATCTTCTATAGTGTGGATAAGATATTTGAGAGAGTGATTCATTATTTCAGAGAATCTGAAATGTTTTATTAATGGTAAAATATATTGTTTGGTTAAGAAATTTGGAAAGAAATTGAAATCTTAGAATTTTATTAGAGCAATGGGTTTGATTAAAATTAAGGAATTTAAAATTTCACCCAAAAAAAATGTAAAAATTTAATTTTTTTTACATATTTAAATTTATATATAAATATTTAGTTTGAATTGATTCGGCTTGAACTAAGAAGAAGTAGATTCAATTTGACTTGATGTGAATATTTCCAATTTATTTTAACGTGATCCCAATTTGATGTCCCAACACAACATAGGCACAATTCTATTTGGCCAATCCTGACTCAATATGTTTTAGTCTCACTTGTATCTAATTAGAGATGGACCTAGTCTGGATTGTTTTTAACTGAACTTGAATCAATATGGACCTAGTCCAATTCGACTGAATATGATCATACCATGATACAGCTTGAAGGATCCAAGTTGATTCAGCCCAACCTCGGGTTCGGGTTGACTCGACTCGACTTGTCTAGATCATCTTGATTCAACTTGGGTCTAAGTTAAATTAGTTCAACCAACTTGATTTGACTCAGCTCAAATGAAACTAGATTGATTTAGGTAAATTGAGCTTAGACTGACTCAACTCAACTTGAATCTAGTTTGACTCGTCTCACAGTTTGTTTCTCATGTTTTTTTTCCAAAATTGGTGTCCTCGTGTAATGGGTGGTATATGCAAATATTTTAATGGTGTGTTCAATTCCAAAGTTCAATATAGTTCTCGATATTTGTACTATTAATCTTTCCACCTTGATATTAGTTATCTTTTTTTAAAAGGTTTACCTTTAGTTTCTACGCTAACTCAAAACACTTTAAAACCTATTTCATTTTCATTCATCTCATTCTCTTTATATATATATATATATATATATATATATATATATATATATATATATATATAT